AGAGGAAAGTAAGTCAGCACAATTACCCACTTTTGCCATGAGCTCACAACCAAAATTTTTCCAGTCACAAAAGTGAAATGTTCAAGAAAACAGTGAGCCTGCTGACATTCTAGCTACTGAAATACTGATTTCAGTGGTCATCTTAGTAAGGTTTTCCTCAGCTCACACAAGTCTAAGCATATATCTTGGACTGCCATAAATTGCATGTATCATAATCTATCTATCATTCTTGTCAATTATCATAGTTATGAATTAAATTAATAAACCACAACCTGTTTCTGGTGTTGGGTATTTTGAGAACATTTCACACGGTATAACCCAGCTAAAAGTACAAATGAGTGGAGAGACATGAAAGGCAGAATGACAACGAAAGCATTAGCGTCATATATAGAGAGACAATCTTGGCGTGGATGGAGAACTCTGCTACCTTTGACTGATAAGGATGAAGTGAGATAGACTCAAGACAAAAGAAAGAAAGAAAAGAGCATCCATGCAATAAGCAGGAAGGTGTATGAAGAAACATACTTCAGGTTGGTCTGTCTCCTGAACCAGTTGCCTTAAAGTCCAATTAGATTGCCTTTCAAAGAGCTTAAACATAATCTCTTCCATTTCTCCACGATCCCTCCTTGTTCTTTTCATTTCCGATGCCTTAGCTGGCTGTCTCCTCCTATCCTATTGCAAAAACATTGCATCTCCTCATACAAATGGTGGAGAAAAAGAGGGCCCCAGGGCATGTTAGCAGTAAAATAAAATGCACTTAAGAAAATTATATTTAAAAATAAGAAAGTACACTGATCACAGAAGTAATCATCATTCCTGGCATAGGCCTCATATGACTCCCAGTGTCATTGTTGATGAACTGAAATGTGGGATACAGAAGAAGTCAGAAGGAAGAAAGAAAATTGGTTTAATTCAATGTAAAGAAAAAAGCACAAATAAATAATGTAATCACAATGACCTGTGTCTGTCTGCTTTTGGTCATATATTTATTTGTTCTTTCCCGACAGAGTTTACCATAGTTCTCAATATTTTCATCATGAGGTCTCATGTCAAACTTGTTCAGTATTTTACCCTCCACAGCTAGCTTGCCTGCAAATCAAACAAATCTCAAGCCAAAGAGAGGTAGATTTGATACAGACTCCAACAATGCATATCAGGCATGAGGGCTAGTGCAATAACAACAGTCTAGACTGTTTTATAATATTTCAACATATGTGTAGTTCAGCATTGGCATTCCAGATTCAATCATTTGTGAAACATTAAGTTGAATCTCCATCAAACTTGATCAAACTTGATGATCTCCCTGTGCTAACAACTTGTTTTCAATTAACTAGGAAGAAAACAATAGAACTTAAATGATTTGATCAAAGCTCCAGAAAGGTTGTCAGCTTTCAAAAGAATAAGTCACAAAAGACTGAACCAGCTACAAGGAAAATCCCAGATGTGGTAGTGACAGTATTATGTCAAAGTAAAGCAACAATTTTTTTACTAACCATTACAGTATGCAGCAATATGAGTGATGCTTAGCACCAGAGCTCACTGAATAGGTGTGTGCTTACCTTGAGGTGACTCAGAAAAGACAGACATTGGGATAAAGTCTTTTGATATATCCATGGAGTAGCTCTTGGGTGCATTTCCACAATCTGGGCCAAGCAGTTCCATGGTGAACTACAAAAAATCACACAACAAAAATTCTTCAGTTAACACTGTATAAAGGAAACAGAAATCTCTTTCATTGTAAATAAATGTAGAAAATAACAGAGAAATGAAGAGGGAACATGTAGATGATGCAAAATTGCCAGGCTTATCCTTAAAACAAAAAGGATATTAAGAAAAACAAGGGACCTGCTAGAGCATGAAACTCTGAAAAACATGAAAAAACAAAGGCCACCCAATTCCATTCACAAAATCTTTCAAGCTGTGAGTAATAACCATTTTGGCAAATCCCTATACTTCTGTGATAGCCAGGAACCATAGTTCAAAAATTCCAAATCAGACTTACACGTAGCCGGAAACCAAAAATGGCCATAACCAGAAAATTAAAGAGAAACAAAATCAAAATATCACAATATCACAAAAAGCATTCTTCCATAAATCATAACCTTTATCCCCCAGTCAAGGATATCAGGAACTAAGTTTCAACCAAAAAGGGCAAATACACAAACAGAAAACAGGCAAGTCACGACCATAGAAACCCCATCAAGAGAACGAAAAGAAAAACCAAAAATCCCCAAATATCACATCAAACACAAGAACAAACAAATGCAATCGACAAAGCAGCGTAAACCGCAAAAAAATCGCCTATTCAGAGCACAAAAAACACATCGTAGGTACCATCAAGGAGAAACACGAATATAGACGGGTAAAAAGGCAAATATGTAATGTGAAGATAGAGAAAAACACCTGAGGGAGTTCATTGTCGTCATTGGAGAGAAGGGGATCGATGGAGAGGATGACCTTGGCAACAGGGCGAGAGGGTTCCTCCTGGGTTTTGAAAGAGCGAGAGACCAATGTGGGGCATTTCATCAGCCACACTGCTTTGTCGGCTTTGCTCGTCTCTAAATGGCCATGATTGTTGTTCTCCATAGGGAAGAAGAGGGAGGCGATTGGTTTTCCTGAGGAAGGAAGAGGAGGAGAAAAGAGAAAACGGTTTTTTATATTTTCTGCGTAACAAACTCACAGGTGGAGGATTTCTATGCTCGGCCGCCTGGCCCGCATTTGCTCGGTTTCCGGCTTCCAGGCCGAGACATTTGTGGAGACCTAGTTTAGTACGGCACAATACTCATTATTGAATTTAGTGAAAGCCAAAAATATATGTGAAAACCTTACTATGCAATTGTTTGAGTGGTGTAATACAATTGAGTGTTTAGGTTGAAAAATATTATTTTTTTATATTTAAAAATTATATAAAAATATTATTTTTATATCAATACCTTTAATATTTTTATTTTATTTTAAGAGATGGGATTAAGGGTTATTTGTAGAATTCTTAAAAAATTAAGAAAAATATATTTTAAAAATATATATTTTTTAATAATTTACTTTATTAAAAAAATTAAAATGGCAGATTAATAAGAATGACTATTTAGGACGTTCATTTTTTTTTTATGGGACTATTTAGGCTTTTTATTAGAATAATATAAACATTAATCTCGTATTTTGATTGGGGTTGTTTTCTTGAATTATGGCAATTTTACAAAATTGAGAAGGGATATCAGCATACTTGTTTAAGTTTGGAGAATAATGTATATCAATTTTCACTCTTGAAAAAAATTAAAGTTTTAAGATTGACTCATTTAATTAAAATTTAATTCAAAATTTAGGAATTTATTTTATTAAATATTGATATATAGATTTAGAAATTAATTATATTATTTAATATAGTTTTTAAATTTACATATTAACATTTAATAATATAGATTTTTAAAATTTTAAATTAAACTTTTAATTTATAAATATAAATATAAATATTTAATAAAATAAATTTTTAATTTTTAAATAATATCGTTTAAGGTTAGCACTTGTTTTTTATAAATACATTATATTCTTTATATATATATCAAAACTTATATAAATTATTTTTGAAGTTTAACTCTAATTAGGAGTAATGGTTTTGTTTGAGTAGATTGTTTTAGCAGTGCTGAATCATAAATTCAAATGAAATACAACCTTTGAAAATGAATACCAATGATCAAATTCAAGAAGCAAAAATCTTCCCAGAAGCAGAAACAGCAGCTCAACATTAATTCCTGATAAATGCAATTTAAGATAGGTTATGATGGTAGGAGACCATCCAAACTTACATTATTTTTGAAAAAACAAAGGAGGGCCATTGGAGCCAATGTTACTGTAATTCAGATGCAGAGAAATTGCACAAGCTAAAGAAATTTCTCCATAATACAGTAATGGTTGTGAAAATGTGTATGGTTTGTTACACTCAAATATGACTTGAATATCTTCTAAGATTTCTCTTTGATAAGGGAAGGGATTGGATGGTTTAGAAGGAAGATAAATTGTTGGTTGTATCTGTTATACAATCAAACCGCAACTGAATCAGAGCTGTTGCTCCCCACTGAATTCTGCTTCCTCTCTGCCTGAAGTGATCGGCATAATGACTCAAGCTTTTCCTTCTGATTCTTAGTTTTCTCCAATTGTTTCTTTAATCTCTCACGCTGCTTGGTTAAGCCAAGAATAAGTGCCAGAAAATTGGAAACAGTAGCTTAAGGAATGAAAGCATTAGGTGTACAGTCAACTATACCTCTTCTACTAGCTCAATAAGAGTAACATCTGATTTCTCGCATTTACTCTTCAGGAATGCATTTTCCTTCTTGAGTTCCTTGATTGATTTTGTCATCTAGTTTTCAATGCAAGTAATGGTTAGTGGTCTCTCCTTCTCAAACAGAACACACCATGCAACTAATGCAAGCAGGTACTATCATATATAGTTGTAGGAAGAAAAGTAATCACAGGGAATGCTTAAATACCTTCTCAATCTCTTGTTTAAAGGTTTCAAAGACCTCATTGCTCTTTAACAATGCATCCTGCAAAATCAATTGGTATTTGTTTTCAGTTTTTACTGGAAAACCACGCAGCAGAGTTGCTCATTTGTCACCTGGCAAGATATTTCACAAGGATCCCACTATTTTTCTGTTGGTAAGTAGCAATTACATTCTTAACTACTTTTCTGTCAGCAATAGCATTAGAGTTATAACCTTCACCATTTCATAATGATAAATTTATGAAATCCTGCAGATGATAACCACCCTTCTGATTGGTATAAAGAATAGGATAAGGTCCAACTAAGAACATAGAAAACAGAATATCTATGTGCATAAACCACCCTCAATTTAATTAAAAAAAAAATGACACTTAAACAGTTGCACATAAATCACAAGATGAGAAATGGCACAGAATAAATCTGACCTGAAACTGTTGGAATTTTTCTCCATCAGCTGTCAACTGCGAGCGCAAATTCTTTTCAGTTGCCAACAACTGTGATACTTGTTCTGCATATACCTTCATCTGTGCCTGCTCCTGGATCAGTTTCTCTTCATGTTGCTTAATTTTCAGCTCAGCAAGTTGTACTTCTAAAGTCTTCTGCTTTAACTGTGAATCCAAATATCAAATTCCATAAAATTAGCTTTTTAGCCTCCAAAAAAAAGGAAGGTTGTCAAATATTTAAACCCAGAACTCTAAACCATACCATCTGTGCATATTGCTGTTCAGAGAGAGTATATTGATCAGCAAGCTGCTTCAATTTAGCTCTTAACCTAGACAACAAGACTTCCATGATTTATTTATGAAAATTGGAAAGGCTATGAATATGTAAACTGAAATCAGGTAAAGACAAGAACATTTTGATAAAAAAAAAAAAAATGCCACTAGGTTTACAAAAATAATAATCAAAAGCAGTAAACAAGGGAACCTAGAAGCTCCATCTCGCTTTGCTTCTCAAGCAACTCATATTGATTGACAAAAAAAGGGTATGGATTAAGTTTCTGCATGTTTATGAAAACAGTGAGAACTGGATACAAGAAACACTAATTTAATGGCCAGAAACAGTGGTAATAAACAAACAACTTCAAAAGTTCTAAGGATTCAAATTCCATTCTCTCAAGCTACATGGAATGTGGCATTTAAACTATTAGTATACTGTTGAAATCATGCTCAATGGATTAAAAGGAGAAGTACAATAACAACACAGGAATTTCTTGTTTCTCACATCTCATTTTCCTTTAGTTGTGAAAGGCATTCATCCTTCTGCTCGTCTAGCTTATTGCTCACATCCTGTAACAGATGAAAAATAGAAAAATAAAATAGTGAGTTGAAGAAACAAGTGCAAAACCAAAATTTCACATTCATAAACTGAATTCCTACGTGAGAAGAAGTAATGAAGACTACTACTTAAAAGCAATGCAAAAGAGAACAGAGGAAGAAGGAAAATAATTCCAAGCACAGAATATATCTACTATTGTTCAACTGTATATTAAATCTGCACTGATACATCTCTAAAAGTGTATGTAAATTAAAAAACAAGTTAAAGATATATCTCATTTATTCTTTATTCAACTAAAATGTAAAGTTTGCAACTCTTGCTTGAGTTGTGGTTATTAATGACTCACTTTTTTTTACTGTTTCTCTCGTGTCTTACCTCTGTACACCTGTGACACATCTTTCCCATGCACCTACAGTATTAGACCTTATTCATACATACTTATGTTTTAAGATCAGTTCTGCTAATTCAAAGAGTTGTATCCTAAGCCAAAGAGTAGCCTATCAAACCATTTGAGATTCTCAGAGTATAGACACACTTTCACTTATGTAACTTGAGTCTTGGCTAATTTGGCAATCCTAAGTCTTTTAAGCAACAAGGGTCTAGCTTTCTCAGTGATTGTTCTGATATCAAGTAACATTTTATCACTTCAATAGGTAAAATCAATCAAACCTTGATGACATCCTGAAACTTGGCAGATAAATCTGATCTTAAGCTTTGCCCCTCTGTAGATACTCGTTTACATTCATCCTGTGAAACAAATGACAAGTTCAGTTGACAACCCATGAAAATATCGAAAAGACAAGAACAAATCATAACTCTAATAGAATCAATCAAAAGAGATAACATAAGAAAGAAAAGAGTACCATTAGCATTTTGTTTTGGCGTTGTAATTCTCGACAAAGCGATTCAAGTTTATCCCGAACAGCAATAGCTACAAGGAGGATCAAACCATGAGTTTATCCATCACCAAACTGTAATCTGACATATTGGTTTGCCACACCATAATAACCAAACTGTTACAAGAAGACACACTTAAAAAATGTGTTTTTCACAGCAAACTTAAGGATGGTTAAGCAACTTGAAGGAAGAGAGATTTTATCTTGCCTTTATCCAAATTATATGATTCATTATATATCATAAGTAAATTTATTGTGAAATGATGACATTTAGCTATCTGAAGTATCTGATTTTATATAGAACAAGAGACTGAATTGTTTATCCCCTTCTACTCCTATTAATAAATCTTTTTTGCCAATACAAGAAAATTAGATTGTTACCCAACTGATCAATAGATGTTATTCTTTCTTTTTCTTTTCATGAAATGTGTTTGCTTCTTAATACAAAGAAAATGACACATCTAATAACACTTCACTGTGGAGATCAACCTTGCTGCAATCAAATGCTATGAAACCACCAAATAAAATTTTGAATTGTCATAAATTTAATTAAAAATACCTGTATCTCTCTCTGCAAGAACTTGTTGATATCTCAAAGACAACTCCAGAACTTCCTTTTCTGATATTAAGGTACGTTTTGCACTTTTACGTTTGGTTTCAGAAATTTCCTGAAATCCATTTCAAGACTTTAGTGAGTGTCCATTTGGATAAGGCTGGCATTTCAAATCCAAGCATTATCTAGTGCCACCTGCTGTCACAAAGTGAAACCAAACATTAACATATGGAATTACTAACAGGCTTTTTGTTTTGCAGCAAATTCACTTTTTCTGATGAAGATATTCCTTTCAGATCAGTTGAACTTGTGTTTGATCCTCCTTCAACAGCTGCGTGCAAAAGGGAGGGGCAAGTAATCAGCAATGAAAATTGCATTTTACCAGTCACCTGAAGTTTCCTATGGAATCCACAAATCAAAAGGAAAATGGATGAAAGCCACACGTGTTTAAGAAAATTACATCTTTCTGTACTCAGGCACTCCTCTTTAACTTCTCCTTTCACCTCATTGCACTTGAAAACCCCAACTGCAGCCTCAGAAACAGAATTACTTGACCCAGGCATGACTAATCCACCTTCTACTGAATCCACTGGTTCTTCAAACCCATCTGTTTCAGATAATGGCACTGGAAAAGTTCTCGGTTTCTGAGTTTTCCCTGTACCACCTGTGGTTGCATCAAAGTCATTTGACACCAACTCATCCTTGTAATCACCCTTTTGTCGGTTTTCTTGTTCCAAAATTGGGGTTTGAGGAGCTAACGGCTCCGTGGGGCTATCAACAAACCCATCTGGCAATGAATCCACTTCAGGCAACTGATTCACCTCTGGGTTTTCCATTCTGTCAAAATTTTCACACCAAGGCACACAATCACACCACTAAAATATCAACAAAAAAAGAAAAGAAAAAAAAAAAAGCACCGACTTTTAGAGTCTTTATCAAGTTTAGATAGTACCCATATAATTAATTACTCGTCAGGAATTTCAAATTTCTGGGTTTAAGGACGATGAATGAAGCATTGAATTTGTGTTCTGGGAAATGAATATCGAAACCATACGAATTCGGTTTTTTAAGCACGAAAGCATACGTGAAGCAATAGACATTGCAAACACAGATAAAAAAACTGAGGAATAAAGAGAAGAAATTGCAGGACATTGAAAAATATTACCAGTTAATGCGTAAGACAGGAAAAAGAGTATGAACCGAAGAAAGAAGGGCGAAACTCCTGTTGTTATCTTCTTTTTCCTGCCTGATTGCTTTCGTATTGGTGTGAGAACTAGAGGGATGATCGGACTTCGCAACAATTTTAATCAAAACACATCTTGCATTCTTCCGTGTATATATATATATATATGAAAAAAATGTTGTATCTTGCGGTTTATACTGCATCCAAATGTAAAATAAAAACCACTACATCAGAGCGGGGCGCTAATATTAAGGGTAGTTATCGTTAAGTAATTTAATATAATTTAAATTACATAAATTTATTTTTAAAAGTTCTTAATATTAAAAAAAATATTCTATAAAATAGATTATATATAATTCGTTTTATAAAATTATTTAAATATTTTTTTAAAAATATTATAAAAATAAAATTAAATATATTTAAATAATTTTATTGGAAATATTATGTATTTTTTGTATGTTAAAATGAATATAGTTTTGTAAGAAAACTGAAAATAAGATGATTGAACACTTTTAATATCAAAATATGTTGTAAAATTATTTAAATATAATTAATAAATTTTTTTATGTATTCATTTATTAAAAATATTTTAAATTTTTTTATTATCATTCCTATTGAATAATTATCATAACATTTTGCACTTGACCTTGTATCTCAGTTACGTCAAGTAGTCACATATAAGTGCATTCCCTCACCCTAAGATAACGGTTGGAATCCAACCCTTGCAAATTTGTTAAAAAAAAACTATCATAACATCTTAATATTTCTCGATCTCAACTCTACTTGTCACTAAATTTGACTATTCTTTACAACTTCACCTTAAAACTTACTCTTCGGCTAATCAAGTATCAATGCCCTGAACCATGTGTGGCAATTGGATGTAATCTTTTGTCTTTAAACACTCTAATAATTAAAAACTTGATCGCATTTGCTCTTAAGTTTTATTGCGTCAAGCCACGTATAATTGTATTTTTCCTTTTCAAGGCAACTGTTTGAATTTAATTTTTTGTGAATTTGTTAAAAATAATAATAATAATTAAAAACTTGAACTTTTTTTTATTAAAGATTGATATTTGAAAAATAATTAATATATTTTTATTGCATAATATATATAAAGAATATATTGTGCAATCTAAATTGCTTGAATTGTTAATGTGTTCAAACTGCATATTATTAGCCATTAGTTAAGGTAAATCTTTAATATTAGAAACTCTTTTCTCCATTTACTAATTCTTATTTTGTAGTTTATCAACAAAACAGAAAACTCAATATATATTCTGATGTACCACAACAAGAAATATTATCTACACATATAACAAAAGTATGAGACTACGTTTTAAGCTTTGAAAAAAATAACAAAGGCTATGGATTTTAGCAGGAAATCGGTATGAAATATGGATCTAAAACTTAAAATTAAAACCCAACGGGCACAAGTAATCAATTTGAGAAATATAAAGATATAAAATGAAAATATGTATTCATCAACCTATCTCCATCTTAAAACTACAGTGATTCAATAAACACCCTTAAATTCAACCCCTTCTAATGTTTTTCGAAACTATATAAGATATTGACATGGGAGATTTAAGACTGAAAAATAACATCCTCATCACATGGAAAATCGTTTACCTACCCATTGATTATTTGTTAACACAAATATGAGGACAACAGAATGAAATTTTACAGAGAATCAAAGCACTAATAAGATCTGTGCTTGTTTATATTTATGGGAAGGACTGAAGCTAACGAATGATTTTGGTTGGTTTGTTTTTGTTTGCACCAAAAATGACGTTGATGCTGATTTCTCACCACATAACTTATTAGGCTTTATTGTCTGCTTCTGAACATTTCTCCTTCCCAGGGAGTATTTCTTTTCATGGAATACAACAAGAGACATCTGACCCAACACTTGCCCCTAGGATAAGGGATCAAGAGGAGCCCTTCTTACCTTTTTTCTTGGCTGTTCTGGCAATGTGATCGTCAGATATCTCTTTCTTTCGTTTGTTGTTGTTGGTGGTGGTGGTGGCATTGCTTTTTTCATTGTTGTTATTGTTGTTGCCACCTGTGCTTGTCATGCTCTTGGCCTGAACATCTAGAGCAGCCTTCACGAAAAACTTTAACTTCCATAATGTTGATTCACTCTGCATAAGTAGAAAAGATTTCATCTTATAATTCATTTTATGATCAAGCATACTTAAGAAAAGAAAACACAAGATGCCATATCAGGTTTCTTATGATCTGATTACAACCTGTGCATCAATATCAAGGTCGACCTGATCGGCCAATAGTTGGAAGCCTGGATTATTTTGAGCAACAATTTCCAATGCCTTACTGAGATCCTCCGGAGTCAATTTGGTGAGAGCTGTCCCAAGGTTTCTTTTCTCTTCAGTCGACATTTTCCTGAAACAGCATTTTCAAGAACAGATCTAATTGCCACTGGACAAATAAAAAAATAAGTCATTCAAACACTGGTACATAGAAAAGAAATATAATATTCAGGGCAAAATACCCTTGTACCACATTTTCATTTTTTTTTTTTCCCTTTTAAATAGTCAAGCTTATGATGAGAAGTAATTACTGACTGTTACACAAAATCTAGTATTTAATAGTCTCAAGTCTCAACATATTTTTAGACACATCAGCATAGTTTAATGATATCTTTCTGTCATTTTGAAGAGCATAAAGAAATTGATTATGCATGCAGGATGTTGTACTCTCATTGACAGATTGACTGGGTAATCATAAAGATGTGACCAGACATTTAATGCATCTCTGCACCATGCTGCTGTGACTTCTAAGGTTAACGTATTTGCAGTAAACATAGAGAACAAACCTGCACTTCTGAACAATGAGTTCTCTCAGTTCTTCCAGATGTGTGTCAACCTCATAAAGCTGAAATAGGTAAAATATTGTAAATGCTGCTCTCTGCTATAATTGAACTGGAATATAAATATGAGATTTGAACATACAAAAAGACAAAAACAGATTAAGAAGCTTCTTCACATTTTCAAAATATCTATGCCAAGGAATTGTAAAGTTCTAACAAACCTCACTACTTATATCTCCGGCCATTTTGGCAAAAGCAGCATCTTGAGCAAGCTGCATATCCACCTGTGCCTCAGCCTCCTCCTCTTCCCGTTTTTTCTCCTGAGGTTACATTGCTACAGAAGTAAATAAATGGTCTAGAAACCACATACCTAAGTAACTTTTTAATATCAAAAGGAAAACAACCGAACCTCAATGGTGTTATATCTACCACAAGCCAACAAACCAAGAGGTCTAGAACCCTAGATCATGATGTCAATTTACCTCTTCTGTAACTTTTGGTAGGAGTTGCTGCTGCCACTTCTCTTCAAATTTTCCCATCAAAGTTTTGGCCATAAAATGAACGTCACTTCCCTCATCATTGTATTTCATTGCATTATCAAAAACCAGTCTCACATCAGCACAAATTTCCCGAACATGCTTGTAACCAGTACCATCCTTAGCCTCCATTTGATTTTTTATAGTACTGAAGTCCATTGGCTTTTCAATGATCTAGTACAGACACCAGAAAATGAAATCAGCAAAGACAAATACAGAAAGAAAAATATCGAACAGGGCAATGGAACGCAGATAAGGATGACCAGCCATATTTTTTTGAAGGGAAATGACCTGCCAAGCCATTTGAAAATACACAGCAATAACTTCCACTTGGAATTATATAGCCTATTAGTTCATCATGTTTATTAACATGACATAAATATTTGTGATGATTCTAGCATTACAAATTAAGATTTGCTTCCTGATATATTTACATGGATTGCGAAAAATATAATCATTTCTGTTATGCATTTTTGACAAACAAATCATGAGAAAGTCAGGGACAAAACAATTTTCTGTTATCCATGATTTAGCTAGGTGGATGCTTATGATATTAATGACACAAAGAAAAAATTTCTTTTACTATATTATCAAAGGGTTTAATGATTATGAGGATGCCCACATGCCTGCTGCATGTCTTGCAAGAAGGCATAGGTCATCAGATACAACGCAATCACGTAATCTTTACTTTTGCCCAACAGACATCACAGCCTGTGGATGACTGAAGTGGACAATTTTTTCATACAGATATCAATTACACCCAACCCAGACATAACCTTCATTTAGTACCTCATAGTAGTCATGTAGACCAAGACCTTTGACATCTACTGGCTGCATAAATGGCCATGCCCACTTGTGCTGTGTGATCTATAAGGGACAAATACATCATGTAAATTTACTTGCAACTTTGCAGTGGAAATCTATACATATGTGAGGCAATTATCTTATTAGCACCCATGTATGGATACTAAGGCATGGTTTCACATAAAAGGCAAGACCATTAACATGAGGAAATAGCTAAAATCAAATTACTGCACTTTCAAAGGTAAGTGCTTGCCTGGCGCAATATTGTGCCAAATTGGCGCATAAGCTCTTGCATTCTCTTTGCAGCTGCTGCTTCCCGTCGTGATGCATCTTGCTGCTGCTTTTTAATGCTAGGAACATGTCTTTCCTTATTTCCATCCTTTCCACCGGAGCTACTTTTAGAACCACTTGATTGCTTTTTACTCTTATTCGAATAGAATTGTTCCACTTCATTCACTTTTTGCCCAAGCTACCAGTAAAAAGATTATACTAGTGACACTCTAATAATTAAAAAACATCTGGAATTGGAGTAGAGAAAATAACAGGAGATTGCAAGCAAGAAAATTTACAGTTATAATCAGACAAGTGGAAACCGTAAACAACATTCTGGACTTGGGCAATAAACATTAAAATAGAACCAATTTATACACTAAAAGGTTTACATATCCCTTTGCCCACTCATCTTATACTTTCAACTTTGAAGGTTATGCTCTAACCTAAAAGACAGTACCATAGGAAGCAAATACAAGCATATGGCATCTTGAACCATACAGTCTGTGATTATAATGGAAAACAGGAAAGAAAGCATCTCTTTCAATCCCACAAAACATGCACCACTCTTAGAATGACATTACTTAAATTCACATTGTTGATTAACACCACCATTAAAAACACAGCCTTCGTTCCTTGAACCTAGCTATGTTTGTTTCTTTCCATAAAGAATAGCACAGAACATGAAAAGAATTATGAAATCCTGGTGACAGTTTTATCAAACCATTATCTTGGAACCTCTCCGTAAGTAATAGAACAAGCTCCTAACCTAAACGTCTATGACAAACCACCAATTAGATATACAAAAGAATCACATGTTACTGCCCAGATAAAATGCTAAAATTCCTAGAATGCAGGAAGACGGAAGTGGTACTAATTTTAAATTTGATGACACTTCTTACCTTATCAACCTTTTGAAAAATTTCATCAACACGGTGCCTGACATTCTCCACTTCAGTGGCATTACCATTGGAAATTCTCATTTCAGCATTATCAAAATCTGGAATTGATGCAACCTCTGGTTCCATCTAAAATAAAGGACAAGAAAACCTACAATAAAAGGAAAGTGAGAATTTAATGAAACTAATGAAATGTATCCAAAAGAAAAACTAGATGTTGACAGATTCAACATGAAGCCCAAAAAAAAGCAAGGAGAAGGGGTGATTTATAGGGTAGAGAAGCCAGTGCCACATATTACCATATGTCTAGAGGACTGAAATTTAAACTCCATTCAATAATAACTGAAAACAATGGGTCTAAATTTTAACAGGACATCTTATAGCTACTCTTACTTGTACCAGTAAATACAATAACTAAAAGTCCTGAACTTTACAAGAGATTATGCATTGTCCATTTCAAATACATAAGCTGCAAACATTTACATATGAACACGAAAACCCCAACACTCACAACAACCTCCATTAGGTCCGAGTTCCCAAAAACCTTATCTTTGAAGCATAACCAACCTTCCCCCACAAGAAAATCATGCATTCTATTAAAATCGAACTAGATTAGTATTACTCTGGCATAATTCCACTGGAGGCTGGCGAAGTAGGGAGGAAGACTATCAAAGCAGGGGACCCGGTTCCTAATCCACTTTTAATTTAAATAAAGCAAAAATTTTTGTAATTGGAATGCAAAATTGCTAACAAATCAAACTACAATCAGGAAACAGCATCTTCAATTTTCGATTTTGATCACCCACACAGGACTAACACTGCAATAAATGAATTACATGAAAAAATTTGCAAAGAACGAATGCAATATCGACGAAGTCAAAGATTGAATCGAAGAACTGAGAAACAGGGGTTGGAAGCAAACCCCAGAAAGGAAGAAAGAAAAAAGAAAAAAAAAATCAAGCGTTTCTTGAAATCTTTGAAGTAGAACAGACAAGAATCCATGACCATATATATGGATTGTATAGAATAACCAAACCAAAGCATAGAATAAGAATGTAGAGAAAAGGAAAGAGGGGAAGAGAAATACCGAGGGAATTGTGTTGGACTGTCGGAGACACGAACGCAGAAAAGTGAAAGCAGTGTGAGGATCGGTGCTAGCGAACCAGAACCTCACTTAGACCTGCATTAGACGGCGGCGTCACCTTTCTCCGCATTTTGCGTGTCCACATTCGACCAGACGATAGCGTTTTTGACTCGTTTTTTCTTTATCTCAATTTTATGAACTGAATGATTGTTTTTAAAGTATTACTAAATTTTTCAAAGAGGGTAATGTTCCTCAATTAGATTTTTAAAAAATTTAAATAGTATAACACTTAAAATTAAGTTATTTTAATAAATTATTAATAAAATAAAATAATTTTATTATATTTTAAAATTTATGATATTTTATCAACGAACTTAAATAATTCAATATTTATTTATTTTTATTAAAAATAACAGATTCTGGATTCGAATCGCATAACATATGGTTAAAATGAAATAAGAATTAAAAATAGTTACTTCTCATTTTGCAATCAAGATAAAAAATTTTTTTTGTGATATTTTAATTTTTTAATAAATTAAAATAACTTAATTTTATAATATTTTTGTATTTAATTTTTTGCAATGATGATTGTTATACACCTTTTCTTTCTTAAAATAAATCAATAAATAAAATAAAACTTTCTTTATTTTTATGCACTATTCGTCACTTTTTTTAATTTTCTTTTTCTTCTTCTCTTGTTTGCCAAATTGCTAATCCTTTTCTTTTTTTTTTTTATCAAAAATAAAATATTTAAAATTAAAAACATAGATGCATTAGTAATTGAATTAATTCTTAAACTAGCAATCACAATTCAACACGTTATTTAAGAATAACTGAACAATAATTCATGTAAGACTGGAAAAATGTGAAATGGTACACTTTGTGTTATTATGCTTATATGCCAAAGTTTAATTTACCTGCTAAATCAGATAAGATGTATAACTATTGAGTTGTAAAATTTTTTATTTTTTATGTATGCCAAAAGAAAGCTAACAGATTATGATCAAAAAAGAAAGCTGAAGAAATTTTTTTTTTTGTTAATAATACATCTCATTATTTTATAACTAAAAGTAGGGCCACGGCTGAGCATAATTATTTTTAGTAGTAGAGTGTTTGCTTATTTCTATTTTTTTTTTTACTAAACTTTCAATATTAAAAAATCTTAATAAATTTTGATTAATTCAGAGTAAACTCTATAAAAAAAATTTCTACTACTTATTTTTTATTTATAAAATTTAAATTTAAAA